GACGGTGCAAAACCTAATTATTTGGCAGTAGGCATTCTATTCCTCAAAAAAATGCTACGCTCTGCTCATTTCAAACTCGCGAGCGAGGCTCCATCAAGCCTGGTGGTCAATTATCAAAAATAATTAAAACTCGTCGTGCGACGTATCAAACTTCATGATTTTACAAAACTTGGACGGTAATGGCCATATTGACAGTCCACGGTCACACTAGCCCTTTTGGGCATGTTCCGGTGCACCCGGGGAACTGGCCAATTCTAGACGAAAATCAAAACCCGTTGTGCGACATTAAGAGACCACGGTCACATTGGCCATCATAGGAATGTACCAGTGCCCTCGGGGAAGTGACCAATTCTCAACAAGATTTCAAACCCGTCGTGCAACGCATCAAACTTCATGATTTTACAAAATTCAGCCGGTAATGGCCTTTTTGACAGTCCACGGTCACACAAGCTTTCCCGATCATGTTCTGGTGCCCCCAGAAATGTTCCATAAAATAAACCTAATTGGACTTATTGCTAGTTGGGTCAGACCTTGGGTAATTGTCACCGCATTCATGCAACATGAAAAGTAACAAGATGACAAAAACTTAATGTCCTCAAAAGCACTCCTATTAGTCCGCAAAAAGGGTGGATAACCGACCATCACCCGGAAAGGACCGATATCGTCGAGAATGTAGTGTGCAGTTCGTTGTCTCCACAACGCTCATCATGGCTGGTACCAGGAGGCTGGCAACCCCATATCAATCCTATACGTTTGACAGTAGGCAACATCACAGACAGGGGCCTGACTGGTGGTCATGTTTTTGCAGGGTTCGTTTTGGTAAACGATAAGCTGAATTCATGTCCTAACGATCATATGACGCGGAGGAGCTTGGGATTGAACCCACGGTCTTCTGCTCAGTAAGCAAAAACGTTTACCACTAGGTAGACGAGCTCCTTTTTAATCATCGAGTTGCTGTTATTACCATGTAGTCATGTTAACAAATAAAACGATTGACGAATCTTGAATGTGAATGAGCTTGAGATTAGACTCATGATGTTCTGCTCAGTAAGCAAAAACGGTTGCTCTAAGGCCACCCATCCCCTCATATCACATCATATCGTTATTCAAGTTGTTATAAGTATTCAAACCCGGCACCGACGACAACGAAAAGTTTTACAAAATACACGATAAACAAGCGATATTACCATACATTTTTAATATGAAAGGACCTGGGACTGCGTTTTTTTTGCTCAGTAAGCAAGCTACTGCAACGGACGATCTTTGAAATACTAAAACTTAAAGCTACGAAAGAGTACTTGGGCCTTCAGTAATCACCACTTTCACGCGATGTTCAATGTTTCGATTTGCTCTTTACGCATGGTTCAGGCAATCATAGCAAGCTATGACCGACGTGACGATTGTTTAAGCCCTGGTTAAAGAAGTTATTTAAATGAAATTACGTTCTCGCATTTCACTTGGTATGTAATGAACAACAGAAATACGCGATAATTTATATAGTTTCAGCGGTTGATGGTTAATTTTAAGTATACTTAACGGTACTGCCTACGGCGACTACGATGGCGAATAAGACGACAACGACAGTAGCGAATTTGTAACTTACCATTTGTCCTTTGCCCGGCACCTTCACTTGAGCTTCATGTCAGCTATCTGTCACTGTTTGCAAAAATATCTAATAGAAATTACCTTTGTTGTAATACTTCCTGCATTGCCATGGCCATCTGGGAGGAGGTTTTCGTCTAGTGCTTTCCCCAGGAACCGTTCACGGCCACCAGCTACCGCCCGTCCAGTTTTGGGAGTATCCAGCGAGGCTTCCTTCAGCTTGCTAACAATCTCCGACACTGGCGAGAGACCAGTAAACGAGCACTTTTGCACGCCGTAAACTCGCTGATTCACAGCAACGTCGGCCACCGAATCACCACCAAAACTCGCGGTGGACACATTACCAGCACTATCCCCAGCTAATTTACCAACCGGACCGTGTTCAAACTCGTACACGGTGACGAGACTCTCAATAGAACATCAAGTCGAAAGCGTAACATCCGAACACAGTGAACCGGCCTCCCGGTAGGCAATGAAAATCACAGGCACACTTACACACCGCTGGTTACAAAAACACACCCGTGCAAAGAAACGGTGGCAATAAACGTCACTCTCGCGAAAGCAGACCCGTCATCTTCGAACGGCAAAAAAAAGGAACTCGGTGAGCAGTTTTGTGATATGGAATTTCCACTGAAAATCAACCGGGAATGCACGAATTTCACCACACCCAACCGCGAAATACGTTCAGAAGCAATTTTGATACACTTTCGGTCGAAAACACTTAATTGTTTGCAAAAATAGCTTATAGCGCGTAAATATCAGCAAAATGTGCGCCTTAAAAAGTTCAAAAAGTGTCTAGCACGAATCATTTACGAGAAATAGGGGTAAACAGGTGGGGCATGGTGAGCATTCGGTGCACCAGCTTGGACTTCCGGCCGTTCGGAACAAATTTATTGGTGGTAGGATCAATATCATAATGATATTGAACCTACTACCAGTTGATTTGTTTTATGCAGCTAGAGATCCAGGGCCAAACTGCGGGATGCTCACTATGCCTCACCTGTTCACTATGCCCCTCCTCTCCCTACATTGATTAAATTTAAAATATATTTTTCAGGAGTCTTGCTATGGGCTCTACCCGACCAACCATTTCGTTAATTTTCTTTAATTTTCTATACATCGTACAGCCATTCATAATAAAAATCGATAGCGATCGTCACCATTTCATGAATAATTGTAAAGATGCTAAAAGTCTAATCGTGAATCGTTTATAAAGATCTTTCTCAAAATATTGCTACCAATCGTTACCAATGTTAAAATATCGATTGTGTTGCCAGATCAAAATATCGATTTCTGTTGTAAAATCAAAATATCGATACACAACTGCTGATTTTATTTGTGGTTAACTGCATAATTTCTAGTTTCGATCCCATACCATATGGGGTGTACTGCTTTCGTTGTTGGTTGCTTATCCTTGGGTCCACGGCTGCTGCTGATGAGCTTATCAACGACAGGCAAACACACTCTAGTATGTGATGTATTGAAATTTCTGTAAATCTTTTCATACATGAACTCAATATTTATTTGTCATAACCATCAACCAGTCAGCCATGTAGGTGTAATAGAGGTCAAAAAGGTATCAATTTTCCTCATTGGGTTCCAAATGCCGAGAATCCCACCACGCATGCTATCACGGGTTATTAAATATATATATAGACAAAAACTTGAAGAACTATAAAGATAAACATTTGCTGCAACGTGGCTATCGGTCTTCTCGTTCATTTACCGGTAGATTGCTTCTTCCGATTAAATGCCGAATGTGTCGATAAATAATATAAACATTGCCATCTGTCACCTGGTATGTCTCGAACTCTCTTTAACCAGCGATGCAAATCGATAACAAGGAGATTATAAATGTGCATCGATGGCAATCTTTGTTGTTCTTTGTCAAAGTTCAAAGTTATGATGATATCAGTATTTAAATATTTATTGATGAATATTTGTAAAGAATACTAAAGTCCATGTGACATATCGAAATTAAAAGAAATTTAGTATGGTACCTTTATAGATTACTATCATCTGACCGATGAAGAAATAATCTTAAATGTAAGTATCGATCAATAAAGATTTTTAAATGTGTACATCGAAATCATAGAAAATTTAAAGTAAAGAATTGCCGACAATAAACCTTTATTTCTATATTAAGAACTTTGAAGAAGTTTCACGAACGGTTGGTCGGGTACCCAGTTTGGCCAGAAAATGTATGAAACTGAAATGTCATTAGCCAAATAGGGGAAAGTGGGGCAATTTCGCTAATGTGGCCACCCGCTTAAAAATCAACTTATTGAACATATTTAAAAAAAATCTGTTGCAGGCTTAATTTTGAAGCCTTCTGGAACTATCAATTTAATTTTGGTGTAAAAAATACTTTTCAGTAGTTTCTTATAACTTATCGTTAATATTCCTTCAGCAGCTATATAAGTTGTCATTGGTTTCTGATATGACACGATGTTTTTCTAGTTTTCATTAAACATCAAAGTTTTTTTTAGCAAAATATTACTTGAGTCTTTTCGGGGCAATATGAGCACCACTGATATTTCAAACATTTTCTACTTAAATTCTTTAAGTAAGCATTATTTCTTTTATTAATATGACTGTATCATAAAAATCACGTTTTGAAGCAGCTGCTTTGGTAAAAAAGTAATTCACAAGATTGAAAAAATATAGCCTTAAATAGGCAGAACTTCTTGTTTGTTTTTTATTCTACCGAAAATAATTGTTGTTTTTAAATCTGTTTGTGTTAAAACTGTTCATTGTTGACCCTTCTTAAATCCTCATGAAAACATAATATTCTTACAGTTGTTTTCTAGGACACTCAGACCAACCCAATAGGGTGCTTATCTCGGTGCTCATTTTACCGCAACGGTTTTATTTCGGTAACAAAACGAACAATTTTTAAATCTTCTTTCAAAAGATTCAAAAGTTTACTTTTAGTATTTAATATGTATTCATAACTTAAATAGGGCTATCAATTTGGTTAAAAATCATTCGAATTTTCAACTGAATTTGATATCATTAGTGTTGATTTTCTTAATGTGGCCAAACTGCCCCACTTTCCCCTACGTCCGAAGACCATAGGTCCACCGTTGCATACACTATATCGTATATAATTGGCAATGCACCCGTATACTGAATGGGAATTGTGGATTGTGGGTTCGAATGCCACCGGTGCCCTTAGATTTCTTCGCAAAATTTTCTCTCACTCACGGCTTAAATTTATATCCCTTACATCGCTCTTAACTTTGGTTTTAGTTGTCCAAACGTTGAAAAAACTAAAACAAAAACTCTTCCGACAATGTCCTTGCTATTACATTCCAACTGCAATTTTACACCTGCCATCCTTTGCTTATGGATCCCTTATTCTTCTTAATGCTCAAGTTCTCCACTTTCTTTTCCAGACAAGGTTCTTTCTTGTAATGATGCGGCTCAACCTGAAGTTTCTGCTAATATGCCTGTGCTTCGCCGTGTTCCTGATCACGTTCACTCTGTGGACAAACTGCGGTGGCGACCTGCCGTTCGCCCGCGGCTTAGTCCCAAAGTGGAACCATCGATACGAGAATGGTATGTACCTATATCACGGCAAGTCAGACATAGGGTGGTTCAATAATGGCATATTATTCCCATCTTTCAGTAGACAATCAACTGGAGCTGGCGGAGGAAATCGACTGCGTCATCAATCAGGAGTATACGATCGGGTGCCGGCGCGAAGGTGACGAGATCTATCTGCCATTTTCGTTCCTGAGCAAGTACTTCGAAGTGTACGGTTCGCTCAATACGGTGGACGGGGCGAAGCGGTTCGACTGGTCCCACAGCTATGGCAAGGTGAACCAGCCGAAAGGGGTGTACGATCCGAAGGGGATTTTCATGTACTTTGAAAACTACAATGTGGAGATGCGGGACCGGGTCAAGTGTATCAGTGCTATCGACGGGGTTCCAATTTCGACGCAATGGGAAAGTCAGGGCTATTTCTACGCGACCCAGATTGCGCAGTTTGGACTGTCTCACTATAGTAAGAATTTGACGGAACCGGAACCGAGGCGGAAGGTGGTGGAGGATGGTGAGAAGGACCTGGCCGAGTGGAGGATACCGAAGAACAGTTCACTCAGCCGGTCATATGTCAAGGATAAGGACACGACGGTGGTACATTTCTCGACGGGGAAGCATTTTGACAGTGCGATAACGCTGCCGATGGATCACGTGTTGGATTTGGTGTTGAGTGTGAATCTACTGCTGAGGCCAAATTCGAGCTTTACGGTGACGTTGCAAAATCGGGAGACGCAAAAGTTGTACAATGTTATCTTCATATTGGCGGATTTGATGATGAGCGTGCAGGATGATAATATCTACTATGGGATTGGGCACAATAGTACTTCGACCTGGCGAAGGTTGACGAGAGATCTATTTGTGGATTTGCAGAAAGGTCTACCGCAGTATATCAATACTGAGAAGCGGAGGAAGATGCGACGAACTGAGTTGAAGGTAGTGGAAGTTTCGTTTCTTGGAAACGGAAGCTTTGACAATCTAACGTTGTCGACTAGTGAACATATCGGTCATTTCTACGATGCGGCGGAGTGGTTGATTCGCCATCAGGATCAGAATACCGGTGGTTGGCCGATTCCCGTGCGGCGGAAGCTGGGAGTGGGTTTTGGGGAATTGTCGCGAGGATGGTACTCGGCGATGTCGCAGGGACATGCAATATCGTTGCTGGCTCGGGCGTATCATCACTCGAAGGGTGACAAGCGGTACCTAAGGGCGGCACTGGATGGGTTGAAGCTGTTCCGGATACCATCATATCAGGGTGGAGTACTGGCAACATTCCTCGGCAAGTACGCCTGGTACGAGGAATACCCAACGACACCGCCGTCTTTCGTTTTGAATGGATTCATCTACTCGCTGTTGGGGCTGTACGATCTGAACTCGACGGCACCGGCGAACCATTCGAATGAGGCAGCGTCGCTGTTCGAGCAGGGCATGATTTCGCTCAAGAAAATGCTACTGCTGTTCGATACCGGGTCCGGAACGAGTTACGATCTGAGGCACTTTACCTTAGGTATGTTTTGCTTGGTTTTGATGCCGTTTGCTGGTTTGGTAAGGTACTGCTTAATATTCAGACGCGAAGTCATTTGGTCTAGATATCAAACGGTCCCACCACAGGCAAACACCATCAAGTTCGATCTCTAAATGTAATTAATTTGACTGACATGTCACGTCTTTCCGTAGGAATCGCTCCCAACCTGGCGCGGTGGGATTACCACGCAACGCACGTCAATCAGCTGCTGTTGCTGGCGACGATCGATTCCGATCCGATCATCTCTCAAACTGCCGAACGGTGGAAAAACTACATGCTTGGAAAGCGAGCGCAGCACAACTAGGGTTTATAGCATATGTAAGCAACAATAAGAAACAATGGCTCTTCCTCTTCCTCCTAATGCCTTACACACACATTGAAACAAAAACAAACAAAAATGAAAAATACAAACATTATTGTACTCTTTGATAAATTACAACCAACACACAAACATTCACACACACAAAAGACATTTTTCGGAAAACATTACTTCTTCATTGTTGTGTCCCTGTTTAGAGGAGATTCCTGAAAAGAAATGGCAGATTGTTATGCAGTAGTGATTATCGAGTTTTATCACCAAAGGACCACGATACGAAGCCGAAGAAGTTGCACACACACTGGTAGTACGATGTGCGTGTGCGTGTGTACTTGAGAATCAATGGAATTTATAGAGACACGCGTGCAATACACAAACACATTCACACCACTCACACACATACGGAATAAGACTACCGTCTATTATCTTGATACCAGAATAAGACTATTATAATTAGTGAAAGTATGGAAATAGCTTAGGGCACACCACACGGTTAGTAGGGTAGTAGAGAATAGTGAACACTGGAAATGATAGTGATTGTGATCGTTAAACTAGAAGAAGCAGCAAGAAAGCACCTAATGGCACGCATACGCAAACTATGAAAGTATTGTAAATATTGTGGATTGTTTTCCGTTGTTTAGGAGCAAGTAGAATGCTGTGCAGCATATGATTGGAACGAACATGGATTTAAAAAAAAAAGTTGCAGTGGTAAAAGGAAATGAAGAGTAAGATGATAGAAGATGGTGCATAACACCAGGGAAGAAAGACCTTAAAGAAACTAATTTTCTTGCCGTCTTATGTTGACGATTTTTCGTGTTTGTAAATGAATAGATAGTTGACTTCTAGAAGCTTTAAGCTTATACATTACATATTCTTTTTCAGCCAGTTGTATTATACGTTATTAGGTACCCGTAGGCTATATCAGTGATCTGTTGTAGAAAGTACCGTTGCTTTTTATTTATTAACCTTTCTCTTTTTGTGCGTATTCGTTTACTTAAGTTTTCGTTGAGCGTATGCAAAAAAAAAAAAAAACGGCACCTTCACATAGAGGTTTAGACGACACGACTTTAAAAAAGCGTTAAATCCCGAATGCACAAAAGGGCATAGATTGTTAGGTTTTAAATATTGCGTTAGAATAACAAGTGAATGGTGAGGAATTTAAAATGTGTTGTCGAAATAGTAGAGTTGATCATCAGACATCGTTGTTCCTAACGAAATATGCAGTATTTGTAGGAGTTGGCTGAACTCTAAATGCTGTACCCACTGCAGTATGAATTCGCAATCGATCCGGAAAGGCCGTACCATCCGTTACGTCACGAACACGGTTTGATGCTCAAAAGGTGGTAGGTTTCACGCCTGGAGAGATTTCTTAGTATGTGGCGGACAATTTCCGTTGTATAGATTTGTTCCTTGAAGTCCAAACTGTATCATACTATCGTTGTTTGGGTAAATGAGCAGCATCAGCGGTGGAACCTATTTACTAGTTATATTACCAACCAGTGGCAACTAACGATTTTAAATTGGCTCACTACTTGACTAGCCTATTGGTCCCACGCAAATCGATTAACGTACCCCATTCTAGTCGAAATTCTAGTACTACACTATGTTTGTTTTGATTCGCTATGAAAGTTTGACAGATAAAATAAGGGGTTCGTGGATTTTTCTATGTTTCGAGGGGTGTATCGATTAGCTTGGGACCGAAGAGAGTACCAGAGCATAGCATAGCATAGCATATGCGATTGTACAAATCGTGGGTGGCTATATAATGGTCAACTAATACGTTTTGCAGAAAATATCGAGTGTTGACGCAGAAAATATCACTTGGGATTAGTGATTTTCCCCACACGAAAATAAAATCTACAATACAAGCATCGCATTATACCCCTGGCCACATCCTTACAATCGCAGGGGAAGGGAGGGAAAGTTAATCCAACATCTACTTAAGAAGGTGCAGGGAACCCATACTACCTTCATAGGTGTCACAGGAAGGAAAGAGTTGTGTTAGTGGGAGGGTGAATGATTTGGCAACTCTATTCGTCAATATAGAGCATTTGATAATTTGATAAATCAGTGACAAAAAATAAAATATAAATAGATAAAATGGAAAGATCTCACCCGACCGGCCTAGAGACTTTGCAGCGTCATGTTTTCAGAAATGCTTTATTTAATTTTTCTTGAACCACCGCAATCACTGATAACGCTCTTCTCGGGACCGAAGAGAGTACCAGAGCTGAGCCAAAAAGTTGAGCACGTTTCTTCGGGACCTTCTGGTCTTAGAGTTACCTCTATGATATTACCATAGAGGTAACTCTAAGACTAGAAGGTCCCGAAATAACGTGTTCAACTGTTTGGCTCAGCTCTAGTACTCTCTTCGGTCAAAGGCTAATCTGTCAAACTTTCATAGCGAATCAAAACAAACATAGTGTAGTACTAGAATTTCGATTAGAATGGGGTACGTTAATCGTTTGCTTGGGACCAAAAAAATAATTCCCTGCTAGCATCGCCGGCTTGGCGTATCCTATGGCTTACCCGACCCTACTAACAATATTTCACCCTACTCGTGACATTTATGAGAGGTCGTAGAGTTCTCTGCATCTCTCTTAAGTAAATGTTGGACTAACATTCCTTCCCCATCCCCACCAGTTGCAAGGACGTGGCCAGGACAGATCTGAACTGTTGGAAGAAGACACATCCTTTATCTAAGAGGTAGTGATTAATCCCAAATCACTTCTTGCAGTAACGGATAAAGGTGAGCCTTCTTCTTAACATCAGTTTAGAACTTTATTGTGTGCAACTTGAATTATGCTATGCTATGCTATGCTACAGATTTGTTCATTGAAATCCACATACGATATCAGAACAACCGCAATGCAAATTCTAATATTGATCAAATTAGAGAGCAATAAAGAGATTGAGTTGATAATTCGGCAGTATTCGTTAGATGAACAGAATTGCATTTAGGGAAAATTTGAGCAGCACAAAAGATCTAAACGATTAGTACAACAAGGTAAAATTTCAAATTGCCTGAATAAATGGTTATATGCTTTCATTTGCCACCCTAAAAAGAATGCCACGTCACTCTTTTAGGTGCATAGAAGTAGAGGTGCCGAAGTTGCTCTGGGGAGTAGATTTCGCCGACAATGATCTCAACAGTGAAGACAGCTTGAGTCTTACTTTCACGGTTTCAATTCCAATTAAGAGACAGTGGTACAAGTATGATGGCAAGTTAGATGCATCACGCAAGGGTAGATAACGTATAAACTTCTTTTTTACACTCTCAAAGCTATTCAGTAGGCCTGATAAGAGACAGCACTAGACTATACTCTAGGAATGAATGAACCACCGAGCGATACAATAGCAAGCATAATGGGTTGTGAAAGTCTTCGGCCTATTAGCTTTGTTCAAGAGGTCATTGGAATGTAGATAAATGCGAAACTCCCAAGTCCTTGATTTGACTAACTTTCTCTTAAGTTTGGCTGGGAATAGAATAAATAAATTTGATTGGCTTTCGTTTATGGTGGAAGGTGATCACGTTGCACTTGGTGATGCTAAGCATCAAGTAGTTACGGAAGCACCAGCTCTGCATACGATCCACAATCCGGTGTAAGTCTTCGCAGTCGTGCAGTTGATAATCATGTACATTTTATCTTTGTCAAAGTGTTTCGAGAGATTAGATGTGTACCAAGAAATCATCGTACCAGAAACTCCACTAGTTTGCCTAGTAGAATTTAGTGATCACCTCGATCGTAATTCAGCCTTGAGATCAGTGCATATGGTATGGAAATGTCCAGCAGACTCCATGGTGCGATCACAGGGTGACACGAATTTGGTGAAATTTGTCATTACTGACCGTTTCGGATAGAATACGTGCTGAGCCTTGGAGATGAAGTTTTTACAAGAGTAATTGTGTCTCATTGATGATGATTTCAAATACTTTGGAACAGCTGTATAATGAGATAACTTGCTCTGTTGCTCTGTACATTCCTTATGCCGCCTGTTTTGTGCACTGGACACATGTACGAGAGTTCCCAAGCCTCTGGAAACTTGGGGCATCCCTTAGCTCAGTCAGTAAAGGTGCAGCTATCAAGCAAGACCATGCTGGAGGCAGCTGGGTTCGATTCCCGGTCTGGTCTAGGGATTTTATGGGTTGGAATGAGAGAATGATTGTACTTGCCAAACAATATACACGAATGAATAGTACAGGATTAGAATGCTCTCAATTAATACTTCGAACACGATGCCTCCGGTAAAATGTGTAACGACAATCTCGCAATAATAAAAAATCATAGCGCAGCCATTTATTGACGTATTTCAAATCTTTTAGCGTCATTTGAAACTACATACTTTAAAGATTTATTCGGTATCAATAGATTTAAAATTCATCGAAAAATTTCTGAGCAATAATTTTTCAAACCTTACTAATTTGATATTACACATTTTACCGGAGGCATCGTGTTCGGAGTGTTAACAACTAAAGAAGTGTTCAAACGGCGTGAAGTTCCAGTGAGGACGTATTTATGCCAAACAATAGGGACACTTATTAACCAAAGGATCCAACAACTAGCCGGAATTTCAGTTCCTCCTGAAATCTCATGCTGGTAAATGCTGACTACTTTTTAGTACGGTTTTAGTTCACTAGCACCAGCACACCAGCACTGATGTAAACACCCCATTACCGCAGCATAGTCAACTCTTCGGAAACCATATGTACGGTTATCTTCGGAGTATTCCTCAAAAACGATTAACGATGGTATGTACACCAGTTCGACCAGGGCAGGGTGATCAGGATGCCTATCCTGCGAGGCGTGCGGGGTGAGGTGACAGTGAAGTGTTGACAAGTGACAATTGTCACCTCGGGTGAGGTGACTCTCCATTTGAGTTGCACGGAGAGTTACCTCACTAGTTACAGCGAGTCACCTCAGGCGTTTAGGCTCAGAATGGGCCTAATAATGTTATCAGTGGTCCAACAGCTTTCGAAACAGCACTAGCTGGAGTTGCAGCTTCGTTTGGACAAGGCCTATTCGGTACATCCAGAGTTGCGACCTATCACAATCACGATCGTCAAACAGCTGATGGTAGTAACGCTTAATACATTCCTATCAATGTGCTTGTCGAAGCACCCTACATGACCATCCAGCAAGTTGACGAAAGAAGTAAAAAGCAACTGGTGAATGTCGTCTTCGGTGTTGATCCATCACCGATCTGGTCATTCCCGACAATCACGACACTCAACTGTGCTAGTTTTGAAGCAGTTGCTGCTTTGCTTGCTTATGTGAGTGAGTTGGTGAGTGTACCCAACACCTTCCATTTAATTTTGCCAGCTTTGTTTGCAACTCACACGTACCGAGACGAACTTCGAATGCGTAGGCATTGTTTTCATTTTCTTCTGTCATTTCGCTTCTTCTCATCATCGCACTGCAGAAGTTTTCACTGTTGTCGTTGTGCTTTACATCACCAGCAGCGAGTGTTACGATTTGCCTGTGGGCAGCGACCATTACTGGTGATCATGGTTCTGTCAGCGACAGTCGGTTGATGCGTTGACGAGTGAGTGTCATGATATTTTGCATCACTGGGTACATCATTGATCTGCGCGATGTCATGTAAAGTGAAGCCATTGATAAGCGTTGAGCAAGCAGCTGGTTAAACTGCTGGTTTGAGACTCAATCTATAAAGAGCCCGAACTGCAGAGCATGGTCAATGAATTCCAAATTGTAGTTGGGTTAAGCCGCAACTATTGGCGATATCTATCCCCTCTGCTGGACACTTGAACAGTTGCTTACCGAACGCACTGTCTAACTGGTACGTTGGTTTGGGTATTTTGATAATATATTTATAGTTTTGACGTCAAATCCGCCATCGATTTCTCACATGATCCACCAATCACTCGCGTCAACTCTGAGACCCCAACACTGAGAAGCAGCTATCGCAAGGATCATATTAGCAGAGATGCTTCAAGCTGACCACATGTACTCCTCACAAATGTGGCATGAAGTATTCTTAATATCTGGGACACCGCCTTTATTCCGGTCGACTGGATGTAAGGTGTCTAGTAAAGGTCCCAGAGAAGGGGAATCTAACTGTGTTCGACAATTGAGGAGGCATTATGTAACTGTGCTTTGATACTGGAGGAGATCGGCGTGACTCTACGGTGGAAGCAGGCAGTATTCCGAGACGGAAGATCTTGTGTGGACCATATTGCCACAGCCCATATCATTCTGAAACAGGCCAACGAATCCCACGAGTCCCTGAAATTGATATTCATTGACTACGAAAAATCTACAGACAAACTCTATTAAGGGCTGAACACAATGATAGCGGCATGGCGACATAGCGGCACAGCGGCAAACGCGCAATGTACTAAAATCGCGCTAACCGCTGTACCGTTGCCGCGTTGCCGCATTCCAATGCATGCGTGCACAATCTATTTATTTTTCCTCTTCCGCTGCATGCTGTACGTAAACAAACCACGTAAACGGGATTATTTTGATTGCAGTTTTGAGTTATTTGTTATTTGAATAATCTCTGATTCAGTGAACGTCTCTGAATTTGCATTAACTTAAAAAAATGTGGCACTTTGAAGAAGTATCTTGAATCGTGAGGAAATATCGAGAGCTTCGGAGAAGAGTTATGAATATCACGAAAAGGGCGGGAGCTTAAGAAAAGTTCCACGAATCTTAGGAAAGTCCAGACAACTCTAATTTATTGAGAAGTTTAAAGAACTTCTGGACATGCTTGGCATGCACAGTTGTACACACCAACTGCTCATTTGATAATAACTTTTCACTTTGTGTGCAAAGTTATTAGCAAATGAGCAGTTCGTGACCAAAACTGTGTATGCCAAGTATAAAAAAATAAGTTTAAAAATCTTCAAGAGAATATTCGGACAACTTCGTACATGTCTGGAAAATGTTGAAAACTTCATCGAAGATCTAGAGTAGTTTTTAGGAGAATTTCAAAATAATTCTGAAGAGAGCTTAAGAGTAGTTCTGAGGAGAAGTTCAAAGTAATACTGAGGAGAACTTCAGAGTAGTTCTGAGGAGAAGTTCGAAGTAGTTCTGACGAGAACTTCAAAGAAGTTCTGAGGAGAACTTCAGAGAAATTCCGAGGAGAACTTCAGAGTAGCTCTGAAGAGAATTTCAGGGAAGTTCCGAGAACTCCAGAGAAGTTCCGTTGGCCTCAGGGAAATTTCCGGAAATTTATGAGACCCGGGAGCACCCGGAACATGTATGGCCAGTGTGGTCCTGAGTACTTAATATTTTTGAATTCTCATATAGTTTGTTGTGTCACATGAGGATGTAGGTTCAATTTTCACTTCTCCAGGGTATCCGGAACATGTTCGGATCTGGCCAACGTGGTCTTCAGCACTTAATATGGGCACCAATAATCATATTTTTGAATTATCATGTAATTTGATGTGTCGCATGTAGGTGTTGGTTCAATAAGAATCTGACCAGTTCACCGGGGGTACCCGAAATATGTCCGGCTGCATGGTTCTAATTACATATTACGACCTTAGATGATTATTTCGTTCACGTCTTGAAGGTTCTGGTTGACTCAAAAACTAAAAAAATACAACTGAAAATGTTGAGCACTTCTCAGGCTGCCGCTCAACCGCACCGCGTTTTTCCAAAATGTTGAGAAAAAAAGCGTTTTAGTACAATGCCGCTTTTGCCGCAACGCGCTCATTGTGGGTTGTCAAACGGATTTCAATGTATTGGAAAATTTGCGATTGCCGCTATGCCGCTATCATTGTGTTCAGCCCTTTACATATAATCTGTAGAGCACCCTGAGTCAGCAAAGAAAGTCTCGGGAAAAATCGTCAACCTCATCGAATCGCAGACGGAGCTTTCACGCGTAGAGTATTGCATAGCGAAGCCTTGTTCAATTGTAATCAGGTAATCGCTGGTGTATGTGTTAAACACACCGCTACGCATAATCGACGAGATCATGGTAGGAGCAACCAACCGTGTACCTAATCCAGGAACTGCTCGATCGCTGGTCTGACCACCAACGTTAACAAGACGTCAAATCATCGTAGCTAGGCAATCAGTGGAGGAAGTTGAAAGTTTCCAATATCTTGGAACCAGATAGCGTCAAACGTCGGGACCAAAAGCGACATAGGTACATGAATCAAGAATACAAATCAAATGTGAAATCTGAGCCTGAGAAGTTGGTGCGTATCAGTGGATAGCACTCATAGGATACCTGCGGTGTATAATTAGTGCTTGGTGGTCTCCCAACTAGACCTAGAATTCTGAGCGAACTAAACTAAACTATAAAACTACGTCACAACTATGTTTTTCGGCTTGAATTAAGAATGTTAGAATATCGCATCGTGAGATTTGACTCAAGACAGATCCTGGCTACTTCCCCCAAGGTATCGGGAACATGTCTGGATGTGGCCAATATAGCTATTACGACCCTCAGTATGACCGCCAATGGATATGGCTTTGAATTATCATGTGGTTTGATGTGTCACATGATGGATTTTAATTTAAAAAGGTTTTACCAACCGGTGGAAACTTACGATTTTAAATTGGCTCACTACTTGATTAGCCTATCGATTAACGTGCCCCATTCTATTTAAAATTCTAGTACTACACTATGTTTGTTTTGATTCGCTATGAACGTGTGACAGATAAAATGAGGGGTTCGTGGATTTTCCTATATTTCGAGGGGTGCATCGATTAGCTTGGGACCGAAGATAGTACTAGAGCTGAGCCAAAAAGTTGAGCACGTTTTTTTCCGGACCTGCTGGTCTTAGAGTTACCTCTATGGTTTTACCACTTCCCCGGGGATACCCGGAACTTGTCCGAGTGTGCATGGTGCTGGTTACTCATCGTGATTCTTATTGATCTTTTTTTTTCGAATTCTAATATGAATTGATTTATCGCATGGTAGGTTTGGTACGTTTTTGAAAATGTCTGGTCTCATTACCCATACTCGCCGGGATATGTTCCGACGATAGCTCCGGAACCAGCGGAACGGTTCCAAAAACATTCAATAACGTTGTTTGAGACCATAGACCATAAACATAGATGCATTCTACCACATTGCACGTTTATTTTCAAAATTATCTATCCATAATAAGGGTAAAATGAGAAAACTTGCGGTTATGGGTAGTTGGATCTTTGAAAATTTTTGAGATCTTAGACTTAGTAAAGTTTGCAATTTAGCGAGTTTAGCAAAACCTGATTCATAACGAATATACGTTGTATCCGGGGGAACATGAACTCATCTAATTTTGCATTGCAAATTCTATGTTAAATTAGATAAAGTATACGTTGTATTTATTCGAGGGACTGCAGATACTAAGTATATTCGTACTTAGAATTCAGGTAACACAGTAGATTTCTCTTCCTTTCAAATATCACCGTTTAAAAAATTCCGTTGTTTGTGCCAACTTTAGCTCAATATTAAACAAAAGAAGATTTTACGCAATGGTTAAAATTCTGATTTTTTTCTGTGTACCAGTTCAGACAAAATTTTGAACATCTCTATTTCGAAACCTGTCTATGAAACAAAGGGCGTTCTTTATAGATATCGTAAAATGCTGCCATCGTAATTGAAAAAATACGTAGTAAATTAGATTTTTTGTTGCTGCTTTAATTTTTTTTTTGTATGTGTTTTCTATAAAGTCAGTACTGGTTTGAGAGACACTTGTTAGTGAGTCGGATATACTGTAGTACTCTGGAGATGCTCAAACTCGAGTTTCGTTCCTCACCATTCACCAAACCAAATAATCATGCACCAATGGGAATCATTTGGTTTACGATAGCTACTTAATAGGATTTTGTTTTTTTTCTAAAAATTTCGTTGAATTGAAACCCGCTGTAGAAAAGTGTAGTATGTATGTTGTTTATTTTTTTATTCAATTGGGGGTAGCCTCATTAATTAATCGTTTTTGATTTTTAGAAAACTTTAAACTGTAAAAAAAAATCCAAAACATATTAGCAAAGAAAATTACAATTACAAAAGACTGTCGATTACTACGAATTAGATTTTTTCTATTCGAATGCTAACAGTAAATTTACCGATTAAAACCAATAAAAATCCAATCAAATAAGTTATTTCCTAACTTCAGTTATAAACTGATACAAAAACTCTCCGCAAAAGAATAGGCATGGTTTACGTTGGTACGAAAGTTCGGTTTGTAGTACACGTTGTAAAAAGACAATAAACCCCAGTTGGATGAACACAGATAAACCTGTAGTAGCAAGTAACACGTAGGATAAATAAAAAAGACACTGAAAACTAATGTAAATTTATTAAACCCCTTTTTCTATTGCAAACGATTGTTGAAACTAGCGAACTGTAGTAACGTCGGACACTCCTGTCAACCCGTAGTTGTAGAAATGGAAAGCATGTTGTTTAGCTGGGCCAGAGAGAGAGAACGACGGGAAAAAAACACAAACTGAATCACAGAGAAAAGCAAAAGTCACTCACTCACATTTAATCAATGACTGTGTACAAATATCAATAATTGAAAAGAAAGCTGCAAACAAA